GATCTTGCAGGGAGAGAGGTAGGCTGTTAGGCGGAGAAGTTCCAAGGATTGGGTAGGCTGCTATTGGGTGGAGAAGAAGATCTTGCAGGAAGAGAGGTAGATTGAAAATTCTAGGGATTTCACCCCCAAATCGTGATATAGGAAAGAAGAAGAGAGAAAAAGGAGCCATGGGATCACACATGCCACGTAGGAATATAATTTTTTTACAATCAGCCTTATGGGTATAGTTGGCATGCCACGTATTGACGGAGTAACAAACTGCAACGGACAATCAAGTGAGAATTGACGGATGTTAAGATTCCATCCAATTGGGTCCTAATTTGAGAGTTTATATGAGTTCAAGACCTTAATTGAGTGCAATAAATGTTAAAGACCTCAATTGAGAATTTACTAAAAGTTAGGGTCTTTTTTCAATACTTAAGCCTATAAAATAGACCTTTGAATTAGGTTGTTGGAGAATATTATTACTTTTCTATTTACCCTCCGTAGAACAACCTGCCGAACTCAGTGGAAGTTTTGCCGAGTTAGTTGCACACAATAAATTTTTTTGGGTATTTACAATTAGGGTGTCTTTGTTTTTGGCACCTCAACTTTGTGTATTTAAAGAAATTTTTTTTTTAGATATTAACTTTAATACTTGAATTTTAAATTTTATAAAATCACACTTACTTACCAGTGCAACTAACTCTTGAGATTATTACAACAAAATAAATAAATAAACAATAAACATCTAATTCACCAACACATTAAAATGTTGTAGCAATCATCACCTTCATATATACATATATATATATATAAATCTTGAATTCAAGTTGTATTTATATTGGGTAAATAAATGAAAATCCTAATTCACTTAACCAAATAACTATATACAATTTTAAATTTTCAAAACATATGGGGTACTAGGACCCCTTCTCCCCACTACATACATTATAGCTACTAGAGTATGACAAAATTCAGAAAAGAAAAATTCAAGTGAAAAATGATTTTTCTTCTTTTCCTTAAGGAGAAACAATGAGTTTATCTCCTTCCTCTCAACCTCAGCTGCCTCCCTTTTGCAGCAATATTCAAACAGCAAAAACAATCTACAAAATCTTCCTTTCCTTTGATATAAACTTGCTTATCATTTACCCCTTTCCTTGTCGTTCCATAAATTCATATGCTAGAAAGTTAGCTTTCCATAAACCTGTCCCATTATCATCCTTACTCACTACACCTAAAAGAGACCATAATGATAAAATCATTGTGTTTCCCCCAAAATCATCTAGTGGCCTCGCACGTATGAAATTTAGATACGGGCGTGCCACTTACTTTGTTAAAAGTAAGAAAAAAGAACTTTCCCAACAACCCTCTCCTTCCTCACAGTCGATCTCTTTGCAGATGGCAGGAAGAACATTGGATTAAAATGAAATTTGCGCCTTCAGACGATTTGCAAGAGGGAGGGATACCTTCCTGCAGAATGGATTACAAAATTTGCCTTAGACAACTCCAAGGACTTAAAACACTACCGTAACTTAAAATTAACAAATCCTAATTATTCTAAATTACCTGCAATTTAAACTATATTTTCGAGAAAGAAATGTACCCAAATTAAATTAAACATGCTTATGGTAAAATTAAAATGCTATCTATTGACAGATTTGGAAGTTAAATTGCTGCAGAATTGAAAATTTAACCCTAATTAGCACTAAAATTAAACGTGAACAGTGAATAAATTGAAGAACTTGAAGTTGGAAAGAAGCATGAAAGCTACACAAGTAATCATTGAAGCAATGCTACTTAAAATAAACACTTAATTAATTACAGACAGAAAATGAACAGTACCTGGAAGAAACTTGAAATGTTGAAATTCATTGCATGAAGTGAAACTGATGTAGCAAGTACATAAATTAAATTGTTTACTGAAATGATGAAGAACACCCTAATTCTACTGGAATCTGTACTGAAATCTAAAATCTGGAAGCATGTGCAGAGAAAATGAAAGTATAAAAATTTGCAGATGTTTGAGTAGGGCTGGCCGTCCCTTTTCTCCTTCCAAAATTTTCATTTTGTTCTCCTTGTGCCGACAATAACTTCCACTTTCTGCAGTTACTCAATCATGGGTGGTTTTTTGAAGTAGTGGAACACCTCACCTTTTGACTTGGTCTAATCCCCTTGCAGATTTCGCCACCTGTACTCTTATCAGATAAAACCCCCTTTTTAACTGCAATCTTCTCCTATTTTGCAGCTCCCATTATCCCTTTCTGTCTCAAGAAGATAATTACTCCATAAAAAATTATCTTTACCTCTTCTATTTTGCCAATACAAGTGCTGATCTGTCATGGGGCCCAGAATCCGAATCTGACATGACTCAAACTCCTTCAACGAATAAAAAATATTTTACACGTGACATTAATTTAAAATTTTGCAATTTATGATATAAACACATTGACAAAAAAAAATTCTAGATATATATATAAATGAACATGGTAAGCTTTTAACCGTCATTAATAATGCAATTTTGTACAATTCATCGACTTTAGCCAAGTTAATACATATTTACTATCTATATAAAACAAATTAAGAGTTCAAAATTTTGTGATTACCAAGCAGTATTTAACTTTCAAAACACTATGACATGACGAAGTATAATTAATTTCGGCTTCTAATTCATCACTTTTCATTTCTTGCTCAAAAAATTAAACAATTGTTTATCATAGATTTGTGATCATCCATTTCTCTTCAAAAAGGTACACAACAAAACCTCTCTTTCCCATGCAATTTCGTTGATTTCTTTAGAAAGAATGCGACAATAATAGAATGAACAAACCAAGAAAGATGTCGCTAAATGATCCCCAATGAATTTAGTATGCCAAACTCCAGGGGTCATCTACCGAGATCATCCCCGGAGTCATCTGAACATCACCGGTTCTCACACCTATATATGTAGCACGACCCCATTAACACCTGCCTCTGTCTTCTCCAGGTCGGAGAAGTGCAGCGTCTGCAGCAACAGAACAGTTGGCTTGCATCGAATCTCTGCTTATCCAAATTCCTCTCTTGCTGCCACTTCGCTGTGTCATATGTCATGGGTGCCAGTCATGTTATAATCTAACTTATTGCAGAACATGAATCTTTAATAGAATTAAGTATACGGAGGATGATTTTTTTCCAAAAAATAAAAAAGGAAGAATTTATTTTAAAGTGTTTTGTTTTATAGTTTAAATATTTTAAATTGTAAAATAAGAACCGTTTGATAAGAGAAAAAATATCTCCAAATTAATAATTTATAACTCAAAACAATCCAAATTATAAAACACTTTTACATTTATTTTATGAGGTGATTAAAGTTTTACAGCAACATACACTCCTATGTATCCAAGACCATGATTGGTGCACACCCGGGTCAACACCCGGGTGTGCACCCTCACATAGAAATAAAAAAAGGGACCGGGTGGGGTTGGGTTTTTTTTTTTTCAATGGGGGAGTGCACACTCGGGTGTTGACTCGGGTGTGCACAAATTTTTTTCCATCCAGTAAAGTTTCTGAATGCAATTCTTCTATCTTTTTTTTATTTTATTATTATATTTTTTAGAATAAGAAATTCCAATTCTTCTATCTCTAAAAAAATATTTAAACATGTTTTGTGCATACATTTATGTTAGGTAGTCGAATATGACTAACAAAATGAATACATATAGAGATGTCTATCAAATTGTTTAATATCTAGTGCCTTACTAAGCAATATTGAATAAAGTAATATTTGTATCTTTTTTATTAAAAAAAATCTAAAAATACACAATTTTAATAGAGAATTTAAAAAATTTTATTTATCAAATCTCTAATAATTTATGAAAAATATTTTAAAATCAAATTATTTTAATACAATTTTATTAAAAAAAATTAAAATAACATGTTTTTAAAATAAAAATAATATTGTTTAGTTTTTTTATAATACTTTATTAAAACAATATAATTTTAAATATTTTTCTCATTAAATTTTTTAGAACTTAGTAAACAAACACTAATATGGGAAGAATATATTTGTAGCATTATATATTATTTTATTCAAATTGTATAGTATGTATTTACTATCACGTCATTCTTTTTATTATTTTAGTTAGCCCAAATTTAAAATTCTAAGATTTTCTTCTCCAGTCAATAATATCTAGATGTGACTTTTCAAAATTTATATAAATATTATTTTAGTTTATTTATATTT